GGGATCGAACCCCAGGCCCGTGGGCCTGCTTGCAGGCGCGTTAATCCACTGAGCTATTTGGCCATCCCCATGACTCAGTTTTGTACAAATTCTGTTTTTGGTTTTTTGAGACTGCGTGTCTCTTACTATGTTGTTCAGTCTGGCCTTGACCTCACGGTGGTCCTCCTGCTTCGGTCTCCCAGCTACTGGGATTAGAGGCATGGCAGAATTGGGGAAAGCATCACTTAAAAAAAAAAAAAAGCCAAAGCAAAATAAAATTTAACAGCATTTCTTATGTTAATTTTTTCGCATCAGGTCCCTGGAGGGTCGGGAATGAAAGATGACGCCTCCTACAAAAAGGACACGTCCTTCCTTTGCTTTTCCCAGGTGGCAGCGTCTGGGTGGTCGTGGGTGGCCGGCCCCACGTCACTACACAGCAGGCGCCTGAAAACAGCGGAGGGGCCGCGCGCGCCCCCTCTAGGCCATTCAGCCGTCTTGCTGTCTCCTCCTCGGCTTCCCCGCCTGCCTACCTGGATCTGAGCCCCGCCCCCGCCCCCAGCGCAGTCGCCACGGCAACGCCCCGCCCCGCCCGCTTCCAGTCAGTCCACAGCGCCCCTCGCCCCTCCCCCGCCCTGTGCTGCCGCGGGGAAAGGGGTGGGGCGAGGGCTGGAGCTACGCCGCCGAGAGGAAATCGGCGGTGCAATGCTCGCAGACTATTGGCTGCTGTGTCCTGTAGCCCGAAGCTCCGCCCGCCTTGCGGGGGTCACGTGATCTCCTTCAAAGATGGCCGCCCTGTTGTTTTGATGAATAATACTTGGTGGGGCGAGGGGTGAGAGTAGGGGTGGAGGGGTAGGAGGATTTACGCTTCCAACGAGAGCAACGCGAGTCCCATCCTCCCCCTCCCCCCAGCCCGGGTTCCAGCGTGGAGGAGGGGCGTGTCCGGCCTGCTTTTAGAGGGGAGGGGCTTCTCTAGATAGTGCAGGGCCCCGCCAGGGTGGCCGTGGGGTCTTCTTGCTTTGGGGCATCCGCTGTGTAGTGGAGTCCTTCCCGCCCGAGGCCGAGCGTAGGAAGGAGAGAGCAGGCTCCGCCGCAGAAGACCCAGCTGCCGCCCCGCCACACGCAGGCTGTGGGCACGAGAGGAGCTGGAGACCGCGCTGCCCCTCTGGGTAACCTGGGCGGCGAGGGCAGCGAGCGGCGCCTTCAGCTCACCCTGTCGCCGCGGCGGCTGCCGGGGGCTCGGGCGGCCGGGGGAGTCTCAGAGGCGACGGAAGCCACCCAGGCAAGGCAGTTCAGTGCCTCGTGTTCGTATTTTTTAACCTCTGACTATGCAATTCTGAAACCTCCCCCAATCGGGGGACCAGACAGCCTGCTAGACACCTTCCGCTCGCCTTGCTTCCCGCCCTGGTCTCGAGAACAGAAGGACCTCTCCTAACGCCTGTCACCATTAAGAGGAAAGCGATGGAGGAGCTGAGCGCTGATGAGGTGAGCAGGCAGGGGGACGCCTCGAGGGAATTAGTTGGCAACTCTTGGCGCTTTGGATGGGGATGTAATGCGCCAGGGGTACCGGGCTTTGGGTTTTGTAGAAAGAATGGAGATGACATTTTCCAAGAACAAAATGAATCTGAGAGGTCTCTGGTTTTATTCTCCTTTATTCACTTGCCTTCTCTCTTCCTTTGCAACTCCGCTTGCTTCTTTTCGTCCTTTTAAGGTCTGAAGAGGAGAACATCTTGAGTCGTGCCTTTTCTTAAGGGTGTTCAAGAAAGAAGGGCTAGGTTCAGGTCATGGTAAATTGTATGTCTTTAGGAATTTAAAGAATAATTTTGGATGGATTCACAACGTTTTGGAGTATGTTTTTAAAGAAAATATTTGACTCCTCAAATACGCGAGGGTATTTCATTGTATAAATTGCTTAACCATGCCTTTGTGCTTGGGAGGTGGCTTGCAGACACGTTCCTTGATATTTAACAAAATATGTATCTTTTCGGTTGCTTATAGGATTGCAGCTAAAATTCCAACAATTTAACCGACCACTAATGACTTCTGGCCTTCTCTTTCAGTCTACCTTTTCTTAGTTCTTTTTCCTAAGTTGGGCTTTGCTGTGGCAGAGCTCGAAGTGGGTGAGCAAATGGAAGTGAATGACTTTGTAAAAACTCTCCCTTTTCATTCCGAGGGGGACCATCCAGATCACCCTCCTCGTGTGGTAAGGATTGCCTAATAAGATTGCTGTAAAACAGTGGCAATCAGGGTCCCTGGAATTTTTCTGTGATCTACGGACTTTTTCCTGCTCTTTACAAATTGGGAGCTTCCTTTTCAGAACCCCTGCTGGCCTCTTCAGGCTACCTCATGTCTTCCTCTGGTTCATGTAAACTTCCCTGCAGTGGTAGGAAAATAGTCATCCATCAGGTTGGTTGGAGCATAAAAGACTATGGTGCTCTGCTTGTAGCTACATTGTAGCACATGTGTTTACTTAGTTGCTAGAATTCTCCAGGGATAGAGAATGGAAGCCATGGGTTAAGGGGTCAGGTAGG